TTCTCCCCAGGTGCAAGGGAGGATAAGAACTTGCTGAGTTGGTTTTGAGAATTTAAAAATGTGAAGAAAGGGAAATTAGACCCAGGCTGTGGTTTAAATTGAAGTGGAGATCAAAGACCAGCACTTTCAAGAATAAAGGATGTGTATACATCTTGGGAGCAGCTCTCTAAGTTTGATGTCAGTCTGCTAGTGTAATTCTACCATACGTAGCCCAGATTCCTGTCTGCAGTTACATTTATTTTAGAAAAGGTCTCTGTTGGTATTAAAAAAAAAATCAAAGCAAAACTTTCTCATTCTAGAACAGTTATTAGTAAAATCAGGATGAGAATTTTGCTTCTGAAAAACAAAGGTCTACTAGCTGCCACACTAACACTAAGCTACTTCGTCCCTTGTTTCTCTCTGAACTCTCAAGGGAACCCATTTTTCTACTTACTACCACAAAGCAGCATGTGAAAGGAAAGGGATTGTAGAATGCGAGTATGTTTGAGAGGTACTAGGTGACCTCTGATTGCAACAACAAGCAAGAATGAAGTGCCAACAGACGCCACTAATCATGCTGAGGTTAATTCACTGTCTCATGGCTTCTACCAGAAGTAGGAGATGGTCTGCTACATGCAACTTCAGGCGTATGGGGAAGAACAGTTCTTGTTGCCGTCTATCTTTTTTGTATGTGGGACAGTTATCTGTGATTGAGGTATCCATTTTCACTTAGCATCCCTTTCCTCTGAGATTGTGCTAAATTTGAAACCAGAGCAATCTTTTGCAGTTATTGTTGAGATCCAGAAAGGATTCTGGGGGATTACTGAAAGGAAATAGGTCTCCAACATTACTTTTCTTTTTTATACGCTGTCTGAAGGAGACAGATTGTTATAGCAAGGCATACAGGAAGCACTGAAAACCATGGTGTAATCTGGACAATACTATACTAACAGCCTTTTTTATAAGTTTTATAGAACCCAGGCAATGGTGAGTATTACTTTGTCCTGGACAGTCCACTTGTAGCAAAAAAGTTATTGCAGTAAGTTTCCTTCTGGAATGCTTTCTCTTGTGGGTGGGTTCATGCCAAACTCCCCTGAAGACAGGGACATACCTGTATATTCTAGAAGTTTATAACCTCTTTAAAGTCTTTCAAATACTTTGGCATTTGCATTGCAGAAACAAGCTGAGATATATCACCATAAAAATAGGTCTGTCTTTTGGCACTATACATGCTTTAGGTAAGACATTTCTAAAGCTTAAAATAATGAGCATTTAAAAGAAAAAAAGTCTCCTAAAGAATCAAACTGCAAAACTGAACAGGTTGATCGTTATTTTTTTAATTAATCTTTACTCCTTTTAAGGCCAAATCCTAACCACATTTTTGTTTATATACAATGGTGGTTGTTTTTTTTTTTTCATTTCAATTCCTAAGATCTTGGGTGATAATTATTCAGTGAATATAATTTCTACCTGGGAAATCTGAATAAAACAGAATCAATTTGAGTTAGGTGCTTACTGTATGGAGGACCCAAAGGATAAGCATCTCCAAGGAAACAATTTACTAATTAATTTGCCCTCCCTTGCTTGAAAGTAAAAATCTCTGGCCTTTGTATTGCTTATGGCTGCAGCTGAACTGGCAAGAGTTCAATTGGAAGTATGTGTTGAAACATTAAGCGCTTCCTACCACACAGGCAGAATGAATGTTCAATCTTTTGGTGAAAATGTTTTTGCCTGAGTCTAGTCTGTCATCCTTCATGTCACAACATCAATTCTGTTAAGATGTCCTTGTGATACATATCTGCTATGCACTTGTTTTAGAAGTTATGAACTGAACTCTCCAGAAAGAGCTGAGTTGATCTATCAGCTGAAAAAGCCTGAAAATAAAACAGAGGGACAAAATCTACAAAAGGATTTAAGACTTTAACTCCTTTCCAGGCAGCGATGCTCACTGTGAAATAAATAGATGGAATAGGAACCTAAATACCTATGTGGATCTTGGCCTGTGTTTTGTTGATCCGTGTCCAGTGCCTTGTCTTCATGGCTTTTATTTCTCCAATCACGTTTATGTTTTCTCGAGTCATGACTTACAGTTATTTCAAGATTCACCTTGTGATACAAGAACAAATGAAGATAATAATTTCTGGGCTCCGGTTACTGCAATCCCATGTTGCTAAATGTCATGTTTAACACACCTTGCAGTTTATACTGGGAGGTCCGTCAGTACTCTGGCTTTGAAGGTGCCCTTGGCCTGGTCCTTATGTGAACTTGGCTGCCTGTCAGCAGCATGACTGCACAGTTTTGCTAAGCTTGGAAAGTTCCTTTAAAGGCTTGCAAAAGGGAAAGGTCTCATTTCAGCACATTTTTACTGGTGACATAATCTCCTTTTAATATTTTTGCATATAAAGCATCATGTCATTTACCAGGTCAAGAAACTCACTCCCAAAGAATGTATGCCTCTGACTCTAGGAGAGAGGCTTTAAAAATGATAAATACTGTTTCCTTTCAGCAGCTTTCCTGGGTGTCTCATTCTTTAGCTGATACACATTCTTTCCCCGTGAGCAAGAACACGATAAGGCACTAGTATCTGTCTATAACTGCCAGGGAGAGATACTTGCTTAGTGATGCAGTACTCAGCAGAAGAAAGAAGGAGAAAAAACAGCCCAGTCCATAAATACTTGCCCTGAGTTCTGCTGTCGGTTGCTCCTCTGTGTTGGCATCCTTACTCTTCTTTGGAGGGCACCATGTGTGACTTGGCCTTTGAGAGCAAAATAAAACAACGTGTTCAGGACTGAGCACAGTGAGTCACCAGGAAACCATGTGTGCTTTCATCTCCTCGTAGTTTTTGTGTTTGATTTTTGTTTCTCTGAGAATAACTATTTATATAGTACTTAGAGGCCCTGGTCCAAACTGAAGCTTGTGTTGCTAGGCTGTGTGCAAACACATGATGAGAGACAGGCTCTGCTCTTAAAAGACAGTGGTCAAAGTGACCCTGACAAGTAAAAGATAGGTCAGAATATGATGTGGCTTTCCAAAAATTATGCCACAGATCAATCACTTGCCAGACAGAAGAATCATTTACTTTTCATTTTCTCCCTCCAAACAGTTTAGAATGAAGTAGAAGGTAAAACAAACCTCAACAGGTCAGAATTCAACTTCAATGAATCACTCTGGTCATCGCTTGCTACTCCTTGGTTCATTGCCTTGTGTTGGATGAGAGAAAGAGGGAACTTGGATCTGGTTTATACAGATGTTTATACAGATACCATGGTGGTATGAAGATGGCCACTTTCCAGCTGTGCTGATTTTGTGACTCTACTTTTTTTACTTTCAGTTGAAATGTCCCACATCAACATATAAGGCATCAAGTGAGAGGTAGCTTCCATATAGAACAGCTTTCCTTTTGGCATCCTGTTCAGCTGCGGCTGTGTGAGAGCTGACAAGGAATGCATTTTTGCCAGCCTGGTAAACCAGAGTGCCTGTTTTCTAACCTGGCAAGAAATAGATGTGTAATTTTATTCTGTTTCTAAGAAATGGGAAAAGCTGAACGTTACAAAAGGAATATTAAAAACAGCACAGCTTTACCAAGCTTCCAATGAATGTGGACATTTTTCTGTCCACGAGGTCTGTATCTATATTGTTTTGCTAATGAGCAACAAAAACCAAGCCATGCAGGCTGACTTCTTGAATGTCATTTCATGACGTGCCTGGTGTGATGATATCTCTTACATAAAAGATTTGAACAGTATGATTTGAATAAAATCTATCACATTCTAAAAACATCAGTGTTCTACTGGAATCACTTTAGAATGTATTGCCTGTATCAGTGGCTGATTTCCTTCTCAAAGATTTTGGTAGGATGAGCTAAGTCCCTGTAAACTTAGTTGAACTGTACTCTTTTCTGTAAGATGTTTTTATCATGGGCTTTATTTAGGAAAAGCCAATCTCTGCATGCACCTGTAAAAACTCCAATTAGAAAAATGTGAGAAAAGTACTGCCACATTTGTTTAATGTATTAATTATTTTGCAACTTTTTTTTATGATAGCTATGAAAAACTAAGCAGAGTTATGAATTATACTGCTCTAGAAATTTAAGCATGAGACTGACAAAAGAGAAACTTCCCGAATGCCTGAATCAATTGTGATGGAAAAGTGAGCTATAAAAACCTTGCCTAGTACTTTTACTAATAATACATTTTTGAGATAATGTCTGCATTGTGCCTAGGAGCTATAGTCATAGATTACCAACACAACATGGGGAATACTGGTGGGCAAGATCAAAACTGGGTAACTTTCCCACAAATTTATGGTCTCTCTGAAAGAAGATGACCGCCGGATACCAGCAGAAGACTGGTTATAGGTATGTTCAGTGATCTACCCTCTGGTAGCCTAACTTTTGACAAGATTTTCCCAGGCATCTTGTCAAAACAGATATTTCAACAGGGATTTGAACCTGTAAAATGGCTTTGCTTTTCGGACCATATTTGAAAATTCAGTTGTGTTAAGTTACGTGACTGCAAAAGGTCAAAGTTGACTATCACTGTAATTGAAAAAATAGGAGAGTTAATAACTAGCTAGTGAGGAGCCTGAATTTTTTCTTTCATGTGAAAGAATAAGGAAACAGAGCTAAAGTTGCAAGGAAAAAAAGGTGACAGTAAAGAGACAGATTAGAAAAACAATTGTTGTAGTAACTTTCAGAATCGCTAGGAAAAGGGTAACCCCATATTGATAAAAGTATAGTAACAAGATGGATATACAATGTGGCATGGCTGGGTAGTGCATCCATTTGATAGTAGAGCAGTTTTTCACATCCTTTTCCAGGAGAAGTGAGAGAGGCTTAGCACCAAGGAACTGCCCTGTGGGACAAGTGTGCCATGCAACTGGACCTTGAAAAACGGGGGCTTCTTTAGCTGTGAAAAGCACCCCTCTAACTTACTCACTGTAAAATAAACCTGCTGTTGAATTGCTCTGGATAGGAAACATAGGGAAAATAGTAATTTTTACTCTGTTTTCCCTTACTGCAGGGGATGAGTGTCCAGGAAAGCAGGTGATGACATGGGTGTGTGGGACTGATGGCAGAGCTCTCCACGCAGCGTCTGAAGTGGCCAAAGACTACTTCGTCTTGTGGGAATTCTCCAGCAGTGAATCCTTTTGTCTGGCATACGTTCACTTTGTTTAATGCAAGATTGATGAAACAAACCAGACAATTTGGCCTTCAGATGCTATAATTGTGAACAAACTGTCCAGAACAAAGATATTTGGAAGACACAAACCTCACAATCCTCTCTGACTTTTGATTTTCCTTTCCCCATGTTGAATTCATTAATTTAGGTATTTCGAACCATGATTTAAGGAAGGCCTTAACTCTGTGGGTACTGACTTCTACCAGTTCTTACAATCGCTCCATGGGTGGGATTTTAGAAAATACTCTGAGGTTGGCCTGCAGGAGAATCCCATTTTCCTTGTCTAATTTAATAGGTACAGGATGGAATTTTCTTTTCCACACTCTCTTACATTAATGAAACAGTCCAGGCTGTAACAAATAACTGATGTCACCACAGTTTAGAAAGTACATATTTAAATGAAACTATAATACAGCCTTCTTACAGATTGTGAAACTGGACAGCCTGCAACCATCTGGCACTCCACCTCTGAAAGAATATCAGTAAAGACAATGCTGTTCTTTCTGTAAGAGTGCCACCATCTAGATGCAGCCATCACAGAAAGCCCCTTTCTTAAGTCAAGCTTTATTCAACTTTCAAAGCACATGTGAAAAATAAATGTTATTTCCAGTGCAAGCCAAATAGTCATAACTATTACATCCTTAAATCACACTTTATGCCTGCTTGTATTAGTACAGGCAGTAGGAAAAACTGCATCTCAGACGCAGCCCCAGCAAGATTAAATATACTGCAAACAAGATTAAATATGTTGTATACCTCAGGGAGAAAAAGAAGTGTGGAGAGGTGGAAATCAATGCACAGCAGAGTTGCATGCTGATTAAATTTCCCCTGAGCTGGCTTTGATGGTCCAGGTGAGGACCTCTACTTTAGGTATCAAAACTACTTCTTTCTAGTGAAAACTTGAACTCCACTAATAGGCGCTTCCAATCTAAAAAACCTTGAAGGCAGTTTTTCTGCTCAAGGGAAGCAAAACTGCTAATTTCATAAAATCTTAACCACATTAGGAAATAATTAGAAATTCATGTCATGAAGACAGACTTGTCCTGTAATGACTCACAGTAGTAATATGGAAGGAGGAGAGATAATGTGTTTGGTTATATAAGAAGCATTTGGGTTTTCATTTATGACCTTATTACTAATGCAGGTCTTTGTTGGTAGAACCATCCAGAGAGTCACACTCCAGGATCTGCAAGTTCAGCTCAAATTCTGACCTTGGATGAACTGAGGAACCCAATGGTCTTAACTGCCCCATGGGGTGACATAACTGGCCATAAGAGGTTTCTGTTCAGAAGAGTTTCCTTTCCAGCTTTCTAAAGGTGTTTCAGTTCATGCTGACATGTGACAGAACTGGCTGGGAAACCTTACATGAGGATTGTGTTTAGATCTTTTGCTACTCAGTAAAAAGTCAAGCATGTGCCTAGTCTAAAATACATGCATAACCATTGATGGAAATGGGACATAGGCACATGTTTCAGTCTTCATCTGAACAAAGCTATTTCTCTGAAAGGGTGTCAAGGTGACTGCTCAAATCAGCATCCTAGATTTAAAACTGACAAATATTTTTCTCTCTCCAGAAAGACTAATTTCTGTCATGATTAGAGCTGGGCAGCAAAATAATGATCTGCAATGTCAGTTTCTCTGATGTCTGGTGACTATCAGAATGGAAAAGACCTCAGCTGTTTGGAAAACCTTCTGGCAGAAGTTGAGCAAGCTCTGCCAGCTTCTTCCAAGCTCACCTCTTCCCTGCTCCCCTGCCTGCTTGGCTTCTTGTGCTTTGGTGGCTCTTCTGCTGACAATTCAGTTTCGCAAAGAATTTCTAACCAGGCTGTACTCAGATATGGATATGGTAAAGAAGTCTGTGGGAGAGAATTGCTGTGCTTCCTTCACACCATTTTCTTGTTATTTTTGAATATTCGTATTCCTGTAATTGAATTTATGAGTAAGGATATACTTTTGTAAAATAGGGTTAAATAAGAAGATATTTTTAATAACTATTTCACCTTATATTCAGTAACCTTGTGGATTATTGAAGCCAGCTCATATATGAACCCATGCCTGTATAGATGGAGAAGGAAGCAATGACAAGATAAGCTGCCTCAAAAAGATGAGAATCTATGGACATAACATAGAGGTTTTCTTCATTGAGTAAGGAAATTAAAATTGGTCATGCGTGACATCTGATTCTTTTTGTGGGGTCTTTCCAAGAGAGGCCATGCTTTCACTGCACAATGAAATCTGATTTCACAAAATATTCAGTTGTGCTAACTTGCAGGTTGCAAGAAAAGTATTCCCTGTTTTGGGTACTTTTCCACGCTGCAGTAAATCTCTGGAGAACCACTGTCAATTTTAATTTTGTCTTTAACAGTATTGTTTGAAGTGTCCAGCAGAATAGTCAACCATTTGGTATATTCTTCAAAAATCTGGTGCACCTGGAATTTTTCCTTCATGGTACAACACAATCAGAATTTTTTGCAAGGTGTCAAAGAGAATCCAGCCTTCCTATAAAATAACCTTCTCCCTCTGGCAATATCTTTCCCATTTCTCTGTAGCGGTAATTGCTTAAGAAATCAAGCATGTGAAAACAGTAATGCACTAATCAAAGTATTGAAAAGTAAATAGTGTGATAGTGTCCTGTGTTCAGAGTAGCAGTCATTTTTCTCTCCTTCTTAGTAGCTGGTGCAGCGCTGTGTTTTTGACTTTTGGCCTGGGAACGGTGCTGATAGCACTGATGTTTTTAGTTACTGCTCAAATGTTTGGTCTGCCCAAGGACTTTGTGAGCCTCATGCTCTGCCAGGGAGGAGGGGAAGCCGGGAGGAAGCAGAGACAGGACACCCGACCCAAACTGACCAAAGAGGTATTCCATACCACAGCATGTCATGCCCGGGATGTAACTGGGAGTTAGCCGGAAGGGCTAGTTCACTGCGTGGTTGGAGGAGGTATCAGTCAGTGCTCAGTCAGGCGGGGTGGGGCAAGTTATCGGTTGGCTGGTGGTGAGGTGATGCATTCTCTTCCCTTGTTATTTCCTTTATCATTATTATTATTGGTGGTAGCAGTAGTGATTTGTGTTATACCTTAGTTACTAAACTGTTCTTATCTCAACCTGTGGGAGTTGTATTCTTTTGATTCTCCTTCCCATCCCCCCAGGAGCAGGGGGAGGGCAAAAAGGAGGGGAGTGAGAGAGCAACTGCTTGATTTATGGCTGACTTTGTTTAAACCACGACAGGTAGTTGAAGAAGTCTGCACTTCGTTCTATGGGTAAGAAATCTTTATTTAGTCTATGGCTTTGTGTTTGACTGTGGGCCAGTGTCTCACTGCCAAGTTGACATAGACATGTTTTTATATCTTGATTATTTTCCTGAGGCTTTTGTACTACCATCCTTATTTTCTTGATGAAAAGGGACAGATTATTCTTTTGTCTCCAGGATCAGTAGAATACATAGTCACCCTCTGTCCATACACAATCACAGAATCATAGAATCATAGAATCATAGAATAGTTAGGGTTGGAAAGGACCTTAAGATCTTCTAGTTCTAACCCCCCTGCCATGGGCAGGGACACCTCACACTAAACCACGTCACCCAAGGCCTCGTCCAACCTGGTCTTGAGCACTGCCAGGGATGGAGCATTCACAACCTCCCTGGGCAGCCCATTCCAGTGCCTCACCACCCTAACAGGAAATAATTTCTTCCTTATATCCAATCTAAACTTCCCCTGTTTAAATTTGAACCCGTTACCCCTTGTCCTATCCCTACAGTACACAATACTCCCTTGCAATGCCAAACATAGGAATAATCTTCCAGAAATGGTGGAGGCACTTTAAGAATGTTCTGAGCAGTACAAAAGAAGCGTAAGTTTTGATCAGCTTATCCTTTCTTCACATTTATCATTGTATATGAAGACATTTGGCCTCTAAAACTTTATAGTTGTCTGTCAGTGGAAGGAAGTACCCTGGATCAGTGTTGCCACAGACATTTCATATTGTCAAAATAGAGCTTCAGTCTGGCACAGGCATACAGGCTAAAAAATCCAAAGTGGCTGTCGAGCAAGCAAAGGTAATAAAGCTCTACTCCATTTTCAGATATTAGTGTGGGCAAAATTATTTTCCTACCCTGGATGGATTGTTCTTTATTTCAGCACTTTTAGTTCTTTTTCTGCTGCTTAAAAGACCTTGCTTAAATAGCAACTTGACAAACACAAACCTGTGTGAAGAGACCATATTTCATTCTGGCTTCAAATCAGACTTCTTCTGCAGAAGTTTATTTTCATGTCTGAAATGGATTTCCTATTGTTTTTAACAAGGGTGGGAACTAGATCTGGCTACCTTAGTCCACCAGACTTGTATTTCATGGCCTGATTATTTTCCTTGGTGTTTTTAACATTTATTACTTTTTGAAATTCAATTACAAGGCAAGGAAACAGGAGTTGTATGATCTGGAGACCTGTAGTTAACTACAGAATTTATACTTATGCCGTTCCTCTTTTGCTTTAGGGATCTGATGGCCAGATTTTGCAATAACATTCAGAGCTTCCTTTGCAGTTCCAATAGGACAGTGTTCTGCACCTAAGAGAACAGCTTCTGGAAAGACACAAAACAGGCACCAGTTTATCTTCAAGATCTCAGCCTTTGTTTCAAACAACCCAAAGGACAAATAACATGAAAAAAAACCAACCCAACCCAAAGCAAAACTAGAAAAAAAAAAAACAACTATTTGGAGACTACAGCAATGAGCATTGTAATACCTTGCTTTTAAACATCCAAGTTCCCCGTGGATTGTGTGGCAGTTGTTACTCAGCATTGAGGACAAGTACCATTCCACACAGGAACTGTCTTCGTCAGCATCATCAGCAAGCAACCAGCAGATTGCCAGAAGGGACCTGCTGCGTGCTGTGTCAATCTTTCAACAGAAAATGTTTATTTTCATTGCTTTTTGTGGCAGTATCGTACTGCATTAGGTATGTTCTTTGCATGCCCCTTTGGACAGGGAGGAGGAAGGTCTGCTTTGTGGATACCTGCACTTGTGTGTGAGCTAGGCATCAAGTTCATTGGATCATAGGGTGTTTCAGGTTAGAAGAGACAACTTGAAAATGCATGACAGCACACAACTAAACACACCATCTGAGCAAAGGGCAGTACTCCCTGGGAAACTTTCTTCTTGTGCTTTTATCCTATCCAAATTGATCCTAAGTGTGTGTTCCAGTCCCTATGTACTCGCACCATGTCACACAAAATACGTGTGTCTTAGTGGTACTTAAACGCATTGACTGCAAATGGGCTTGAAAGGGTGAAGAACCAGACATTACATTAAGGAAGCTGCCTTTAGGAGCTGCAGCCAAGCAGAACCATGCCATTGCCAGTGGTTTGTACCTTTTTGCAGCAAAGTACTATTAACACCTTCAGTGACTGTTCTTTAATGGAAGTAAGGACAAATTGTGGACATAATTTTCACCCAATCATATCAAAAGATTGGAAGAGTCACAATCACAAGACTTTCTCTGACAACTTAATCCATCTCTTTCTCTGTGGGAAAATAAACCCTGCTATTCTTTCCCGTGTCACTGCTTTGAGGTTTACCATATTATGTTTCAGAGTGGGTGGCAATTCTCTCCTGACCTCATCATAAGAAGGAAAAAGGAATGTCAGCATTGCAGATAAATAAATCTCCAGGCTTCCCCTGAATCCAAGGGAAGAACTGAAAGATGAGCTGTATGTTTATACGGCTTTCCTGCCCTGCATTCAACAGACAGATACTGGCACTCACACAAAGGGAGTCAGTGACAGGCCTGGAAGCAATCTAGCTGTGGTCAACTCTCAACTGCAATCTTCAGAGGAGTCCTGGCACCCAAACAAAATTGTTTAGCCATGCCCATACTCATCTTCAAGAATGCTTAAGGTCTGATTCAGCACCTAAATTCCACTGGTAACTGGGCCCTCAGAAGCTTTTGGTCCTGAAGTTAGAAGTTAAAAGCAAATTTTTAAAAAAGTCTCAAAAGGAGTAAATAGTACCATGGCCATCT